AGCCACGGTTGTCTAGCGGTTAGAACGCTGGCCTTGTAATCCTGGGGTCTCGGGTTCGATTCCCGGCGGTGCCCGAATTTATAACTTGTGTTGGGCAAGGCCGTGGTCTAGGCAACACGGAGTTTTCCTCCGGGGGCTTCCCCGGTTTCTCCGTGGCATCCGTTCACACACAGAAGAAGGCAATGGCAAACCACTTCTGGATCATCTGCCAAGAACGTATATGAACAGGTCCCAGTCCGAGAACAGGATGGAAGGATCCTGTTCATACGGACCTGTCGTCAGACAGAACACTAAATAAAAATAAGTAATTGCTTTATAGTGTACCAAATGGTTCTGCACACAAGCAATTAAAAAATACATGACTATAAAGTCATTATCAGAGTACGATATCACAGTGTTTCCAGCAGCCCAAGGCCTCAGCATGAGAATGGTTGTACCACACAAATCCATCCACTTCGACAGAATAATTCAGCATCATTGCTGACCATAAGAGTCGTCAAACAAGATTAAAAAAGAATAAAATTCAGCTCCTCCTTCTCGCCAGGTTCCTTGTCGCAGAGCTACCAATAACCGTGCGCTCCGCGGCCATGTTCACCGCCTTCCTAACCAGCAGTCTGTCCCCCCCTCCCAACTGTTCTCCTGGCGCCAGTCTGTCGGTCTCGAGAAGGCACACACCGTATACCAAATGAACCACCTCGTATGTGAGCGGAGCTTTCCTCAAGAACCACATTCCACAGGTAGCAGGCTGATAAGAAAAGGGTTGAATTCTTTTGCAATCTCATACATGGTTTCTAGACATATCTGAGGAATTCAATTCCACTGACAAGCAAACCCATCCATATATGAAACAGAAAAATATTTTGAGTCCATGAATTCCTCGCAGAAATTGCAAAAAGATGAACGTAAAGAATTCTCTGTGCTTGTAAGATCTGAGATTTCAGCAGTGACGTGAATATGGATGATTTTCTGGATTATTCTGCCGTGTAATCTGTTACATTTACGGAGTAACAACCCAGAAGACAGCCAACCTTCTATCTTTAGTGTGACTAACCTCGCAACAATGAGATTTCAGTTGCAATAAATCAACAATGGGACAATAAACATTTTTCAACTATAGTAGGCTTTGCTGTACAGCGAGGAACAGCGTATAAACGAATCTACTGTTAATAACATTACGGTGTTATACACTCTACCGACACTTAGCCAGTTGTAACTAGTACCAGGTGATTCAAAAATCAGTAAACCACCTCTTTACCCTTATTTATTGGTTTCATATGACTCACAGAGTAACAGTGATTGGGCCTACACCCTATTATTTATCTTAAAGCAGGCTTAATTTTTTGACGTAAATACGTCTATATTTTAGGGTCAGTGTCATACGACAAAAAGTGAAACGAAAATGTGTAACAATGGTTTTATTATTATTTAGTGTTCTGTCTGAGGACAGGTCCATATGAACAGGATCCTTCCTTCCTTTTCTCGGACTGGGACCTGTTCATATACGTTCTTGGCAGATGATTCAGAAGTGGTTTGCCATTGCCTTCTTTTGTGTGTGAATGGAGTAATTGTTGGTATGCCACGGAGGAAAACTCCGTGTTGTCTAGACCACGGCCTTGCCCAACACAAGTTATAAATTCGGGCACCGCCGGGAATCGAACCCGAGACCCCAGGATTACAAGGCCAGCGTTCTAACCGCTAGACCACCGTGGCTGCAGGATTACATTCAGGTGTATAAAAGAGAAATGGGCTGTTAGGATGAGGTATGGCTAGGACCGTGTAATATGGAGGCGGGCTTTGATTTCAGCGGTGTTGAACCATTGGGTTCTATTACGAGACACATGCAATTTTCTTGCCAGTCTGGTTTGTAGTCCAAACGTTCCTGCGGCCTGTTCGGATTCTTTCTTCTAGTTTCTGTGGTTTTCTTCCGATTTCCAGTTGAGGTACCTTTATTCCATTTGTAATCATTCTTCGACGCCATATAACGTCATAATTCAGGACATCGTAGCTAAGAAACACTTCGGACTGTTGGAGTTGCCTTGCATTCCAATTCGCAAAAGCTCTTTGAAGAAAAGAAGAGACCGAGTATTATGAAGATAGGGTGTGAGCGATTTGGCTGCATTTATCTGACTCGGGGCGAGTCTTGTAAACACTGCAGTTAACAATCATAAAAACCTGGGACATTTCTTGGCCACTAGAATTACGATCAGCATCCCAAGGAACATCCTGACCTGTTGGTGCTGGCTTATTATCATCGTCATCATCATAATCAGTAGTAGGAGTATGTGATGAGATCATATCACCTTGTACAGAATAGTCAGGATGTTTGAAATGATCAAATGCAAACAAATTTCTGCCGAAGTGATTCAGGTTCTCAAGGCGGCGATGTGAAGATGACCGTGTTTTGGGTTGTTGCGCCGTTTGAGATGAGGCGTCAGGCACCTCTTAGACAGGAGGAAACTACCACACTATGCAGAACACGGCCATTCTCATACTCGTCGTCCTGATAACCAGAAATCCCAATTCAACATGTGTATCTACTCGAGTGTAATTTAGATAATTGGTGTTAATTGGTTGCAGTTTCTCTCTACAACGCAGTTCCCTTTGTTGGGTTTGGATTCCTGGATAACTTCGTTATGATCATAGCCGTACGTAACAGCTTTAATTAATTTGAATTTAGTAAGTTGGTTTTGCTGTAACTGGTGTTTAATCGAGTAATTTTGTTTTCAATTTTAAGACCAACTGCACACACTTGTCGTTGTTTGCTTATGTATACATGGCGCTGACATGTGCGTGACCTCAAACGGACATGATTTTGGTCACTCAGATTCCATCACATCGGCAGAAATGAGCGTTTGAATTATTGAAAAATTACTGCTAAATGACGGTGAACATTTCAAAGGCCTCTATTCGGTAAACCCACGGACGGATATTTTCGTGACCATGCCACGACACTGACCAGTCGGTGACCTCAAACTGACATGAGTATTGCCATTCAGATTCCTATAGATCGGCAGAAATGTGCCTTTGAAAAATTGACTTTCGAATGACCTTGAAAACTTAAAAGGCCTTTATTCGGTAAACCCACAGACGGATATTTTCGTGACCATACCACGACACTGACCAGTCGGTGACCTCAAACTGACATGAGTATTGCCACTCAGATTCCTATAGATCGGCAGAAATATGCCTTTGAAAAATTGACTTTCGAATGACCTTGAAAACTTAAAAGGCCTTTATTCGGTAAACCCACAGACGGATATTTTCGTGACCATACCACGACACTGACCAGTCGGTGACCTCAAACTGACATGAGTATTGCCACTCAGATTCCTATAGATCGGCAGAAATATGCCTTTGAAAAATTGACTTTCGAATGACCTTGAAAACTTAAAAGGCCTTTATTCGGTAAACCCACAGACGGATATTTTCGTGACCATACCACGACACTGACCAGTCGGTGACCTCAAACTGACATGAGTATTGCCACTCAGATTCCTATAGATCGGCAGAAATATGCCTTTGAAAAATTGACTTTCGAATGACCTTGAAAACTTAAAAGGCCTTTATTCGGTAAACCCACAGACGGATATTTTCGTGACCATACCACGACACTGACCAGTCGGTGACCTCAAACTGACATGAGTATTGCCACTCAGATTCCTATAGATCGGCAGAAATATGCCTTTGAAAAATTGACTTTCGAATGACCTTGAAAACTTAAAAGGCCTCTATTCGGGAAACACACGTACTGATATTGTCCTGACTATGACAGGACGCTGACACGCGCGTGACCTAAAAGGGACACGAGTATGGACACTCAGATTCCAACAGATCGGCAGATATATGCTTTTAAACATACTTTTGACTCACTCTGTATTTAAATCAACTGGGCCGCATACAAATCTTCGGGAAACTCGCAGTTCTTTATCCGATCCGCGAATTATTAATCGATGGGAAATCCTTGTCATTAGGAGGAATTACATTTTTCTTTCACTCGTTAACAGGCTCTAAATTGATTTTAATGTGGAAACATAAACACTGTCATTCTACACTTTCTAAATTGTTCGCTTCAGCATTACTGCATTTCGTGATTTGCCTCTGTCCTGACAAGTGTCGATGTGATTAGTAGTAGTAGGAGTCAGAACTCGCCACTGCTCCTTTCTAGTCGCTCGTTCCCTTTAACATTCTGCAATAATCCTGTTAACATACCTTTACTCTTTTGAGGACCAGAACCTAACTCTGTATAGTCATACCATTGTGAAAAGAAAAGGAAACCACTAAGTCACAAAGTTCATTTAATGGAAAGCAACAGATATTAGAGCTGCTTGTCACTTGTATCGGAATATACTGTTTGCGTAGGTTGTGTGTTCCAAATGAGTGGAAACCACTCTTGTCATCAGACTAAAGTTCAATGCCCACCAAATTCTCCCAAACACCCTTTAAACTACTGAAATGACTGATCATCTTGGTTGTGTGGTTAGTACTCTTTAATAATCATGATGTCCGGAATTCAAGATTGCAGATGTTATATTCTCTCTGTGCTTTTATACGGCGCTGAATCGTGGACGTTGACCAAAGCTTCTTCAAAAAAGTTGGAGGCCTTCGAAATGTGGTTGTACCAACCTATTCTCAGAATTTCCTGTATTGACCGTGTAACCAACAAAAAAGTTCTCGAGAAACTCTGCAAAGACGTCGAGGTTGTTAACACCATAAAAAAGAGAGAAAGTTGGAATATTTCGGTCATATCATGAGAAATAGTGATAGATACTAGCTGCTTCAGCTGACCTGGCAGGCCAAGAATCTCCTGGCTTCAGAACCTAAAAACTTGGTTCTCGATGTCCACTGGAGGGCCGTTTCAAGTAGCAGCCAGTAAAGCTCAAATTGCTATGCTGATTGCCAACATACGGAACGGACAGGCACTTTAAGAAGAAGATGTGTAGTACATACTTTCTCCTTGTCTGTCTTAAATTATATGTATGATTTATTTTTCAGGGTGACCAGATTGAGATGATGCTTGGTAGTGTCGTGGTGGTGTCCACAATGGCTGCCGCTGCCTTAGGAAACACAATTTCAGACGTAATGGGCATAGGTTCAGCCTGGTATGTTGAGAGACTGGCAATTCGTGTTGGCATGCAGACACCAAAGCTATCCCCAATTCAGTTGGACATGCCTACTTCCCGACGTGCTGCCAACATGGTAAGAGGATGTGCTTGGCACATAGTGAATGCGTCAAAGTAAAATTGATAAATGGCTGTATTTGAACGTCACTGTGGGCCAAATGGAGTCAAGTTTTTCCACAGGCTGCTACTGCGTACTAAGTATGATGTACGTACCCCCTGCCCCAGACTTTTATGATTTCTGATGCCTGCACTACCATTGGGACATTCTGTATCCTGTGACTTCTGCTGGTCTTCAAGTTCAGTAAGAACACTTTTATTTTCAGGGAAGGGCTCTAGGCGTGACACTCGGCTGTTTACTTGGGATGACGCCACTCTTGTTTCTTGGGAAGAAGAAAGACGAATCAAATGAAGAGTCCACATGAAGTAGTGTGCAG